AAATGATATGATATTTATTTTTAGTTATAGGTTGGTTGTACTAATTGGCTTCACATACTTTTTGCTTACTATGAATAATATTATCAGATGGCGGATATACAGTTGTGGTTATAAATCATATTTTTTTTTAAATATTCCTCTGAGCCGGGCCCCAGCTGCAAAGGAGGTTGGCAGCATTGTTAGCCGCCGCGCCTTCTTTTAAATGCGATTTAGAAGTCAGAAGTACAGTCTTCGCTAACAATGCCTATCGTCGACTGATGCTGACCGGTCACGTTCGAAACAGCGCTTATGCTGCATCTTTTTACACAGCGGCAACTTGTTATTATTCAAACGCGACCACTGAAAGCAGGGAGTATCGACGCCATAGGCTCATATAATTTTTGGATAGGGTTGTACAAAACAACAGGCGATCGTTTCTATTGGTCAAACTTTTCCGCGGAAATTTGTGATTGGTTGAAATTTCCCTGGCTCAACTCGGCCTACTGCTCAGCTCGTCTTTTCCATGGAAACTTGCGGATGCAAACTCAAATTTCTCAAATTTCATCAGACAAAATTATAGCAAACATATCCAGAAAAAATAAAATAATTTTCTTTAGTATTTTTTTATTCAAATTTCATTAACTTGTCACTCGTCCCTAACTCAAAGCTTTGAGTTAGGGACGAGCGTTGTCTAGAAATAGAAAGTACTTTTGTTGTCTGTCAAAATTTACTAAAAACTACCTCCGTTGTTTTTCGCGATTTGGCCGAATCGTATTTTTTTTTTTTTTTTGGTTTGGGAGGTGCCGGTTCGACACCAAACACCTATAAAGCACTTCGTTAATGTGTCTCTTACCTTTTCATCGAAAGCCTAATGTGGGTCGGGCATTATTTTGTCTGAAATACTGAAAGTATTGGACCAGTGCGACACGGTCTCCTCAGCGCTCGCAAATAGTTTTGTTCATTAACGAGATAAACAAGCAGGCCCGCCCTTCCGCCAAACGAAGTTGCCAGCTCCGCTTCGCTCCGCCGGCAACTCCGTTCGGCAGGGGCCGGGCCTGCTTGG